CCAGCGCCAGAGCTGTGCCCTCAGGGGAAGTGTCTGGTCTGGGTCTGATCAGGCCTGGACGAGAAGCCGCCCGTCCTGCTGCCTCAGCCTGAGTTGGAGCATTTAGGGGGGGAAAAAAACACAAACATTTGAATTAAATACATATGAAGATTATCATAAATAAATTAAAGCAATTATAAAGATTTATAGATTTATAGATTTTTTTAACATAAACTGCAGTTCATGCATTAATAAAAACATCTGTAAGAGTTCATTTCCATCAATACTGAGATAATAAATAGATTATACTTGATATAAAGTCCAACATCTGTTCACAACGAAAAGCTGCAAAGAGCAGAATCAGAGAAAAGACTCCAGACACAACAGGAAGCAGCAAAAATATCTGATTAGAACTGATGAACAACATAGATTTGTTTTGTTATCGTAGAAAGTCTGCCACACACTGGACGTTACAGAAGTGTGTTTGCTTTAACAGATGTCATTTTGACTTTTTCTTGCCTTTTACATCATTTCAACAAATATACCTGCCTTTGTTAATGTTTCTTTTATATGATTTGTTTTTTCCTTAGTGCCATAAAATGTTTTTATTTCATAATTTCTATTAAAATAAAACAGCAACACCACTGCAGAAATATTTAAGTAAAATTGACTCACAGATTTTTTTTTAAATGTCAAAGGTCACTGCTTTATAAATGTTGTTTTCTATGCTCTGGCATCTATTTAGAAAAAAAATAGCTACAACTACTGACTGACCAAACACAAATTCTCTGCAGTGAAACCATTTCTGAATTTCTGAGTGAGCTGCAGAGAAACTAATAACAACAACATGGTAATGACCTGGTGTTTTGGGAACTCTGTTTATTTACATTCTACGCAAATGCCAGTATTGTATTTAATTTAATGTTTTTTTCTTCGGTTTCTCTACGTTCATTAAATCAGTGACATTAAAAAAAAGGATAAATTTAGACTCATGCAGCTCAGACGCAGCAGCACCAAAACAACAGCAGCGTGCATGGCTTCAGGATGAAGACGACCCGTGGTCTGCAGTGACTGTCACGTTAATGTCAGGCTGCCTTACACTGCACTCCATGTGCTGCAGCTCAAACACACACACACACACACACACATCTGACCCAGAGAAAAGGTGAAGATGACGGTCTGAGCCCCAGTGTAAACACACCAGTGTTATGACAGCACATAAAACACTCCCACGCACATACCCTGCACACACACACACACTTCCTCACGTGTGCTCAGAGCGTCAGACACACACACACACACACTGACCAACACTTTGTCCTCAGCCAGTAAATCTCAGTCTGCAGTGTGAAACCAAAACAACAACAAAACCCTGCGTCTCAGAGAGAAGCCAAGTCCGTCTCCTCCTCCTGCAGAGACACAGAGACATGAGCAGATTAACAGGTTCAAGGTCAACAAGTACCAGTACTAGGACTGTACTAGCCCGATACTTCATTCAAATATTTCTACTTAAAAACTTGTGATCAACGTGTGATGCAATGAAGGATGTTTTTAATTTAATTTTTTAATTTTTTTACCACAACCACTGTGTTGTGTGTTCAGTTCAGTGCCTTATACATATTTTACCACAACCAGTGTTGTGTGTTCAGTTCAGTGCCTTATTGTCCTGATGTGTCATTGATTTAAATCAGGACAAGGTATTTGATCAAATATGAAGTTTTCATTTACTATACATTGCGTTCTGACCAGGATCAGAGTGGGAGAACTGAGGTCCAGGTGAGGAATGTGACAGGAGGGTCAGAACGGACTGTGATCTGTGGGAGGTGATGGGACGGAGCTCCTCCTCCCACAGAGAGTCAGACTGAGGATGATAACTGGACTGAGCTGTGGTTCTGTGGTGTGTAACATTTGCAGTTCTGTCCACAGTCAATCACAGTACTGACCCTAACACCCTGGACAATGGTCCAGTCCAGAAATAGAGCCAAATACTGAACCTACATGAACAGTGACCCAGAGAAAACCCATTCACACAGAGAAGTAATTCTTCTTCTGTTCACTCCCTACAGAAAGACAATTAGTTTGAAAAAAAAAAGAAATATATTTGAATCTCTTCAGTGGATGCTTTTGGAAATGTATTTAGATTTTCAGTCATCCTTTAATGGCATTATATGGTCACGTGTCATGTGACTTTCAGCACTGCTAATGTCCAGAGACATTTGGACACAGAGTGTCCGTCCATCTGACCTGAGGAGCGTCCTTGGTCTTCTACTGCTGAGACAGTACCACGAGGAGGTGAAGGACGGAGTGGATGGACTTCTGTAAGAAGAACGACACGGTGTTGGTTAGTGGAGGTGACACGGTG